CTCGGGGGCGTTGATATCTCCGGGGTGATCTCGCGCGATCTCGGGGTGAGGCAGCCAGAGAGGAGGTGAGCATGCGCACGCCAGCAGGGAGTGTGCAGCCCACAACAATGTTGGGCAACGATTCACGGTCGGGTGGCGGCGTGAGCGGAGACAGCATCTCATCTCCCACCATCTGCGAAAAGATCAGCACGCGGTGCCCCTCGCGCCGCAGCTTGGGCAGAAGCTTGTCGAGGAGCACACACTTGCCCGACGCGGCGAGGAACTCGTTGACCGCCGCTGCGCCGCCGCCGTCCGAGGAGGCCGCCTCCCCCTCCGCCGCGCGCAACTGGTCCGACGCGTGCGCCTCGACGCCCTTGATCAAGTAGGGGTGGTTGCAGCACTTGCGCAGCTCCATCTGCAAGTTGACCAGCGAGGGTAGCGCCGCGCCGGTGACGCCGCCGACGAGGAGCTCGCGCTCGCCCTCGAGGATGGCGCGGTAGGTCCGCTTCTGGAAGAGCGTCATCTCGACCCACACGATGGTCTCCTCGAGCGGCGTGAGCGACTTCTCGACGTCATTCTTCTGCCGGCGCAGCAGGTACGGCCGGATGCGAGTGTTGAGCCGCTCGACCTGCGCCGCGTCGGTGAGCGTGCCAAACTCCTCCAGAAAGGCGGGCAGCGAGGGGAAGAGGTCGGGGTCGAGGAAGGTGAGCAGCGCCCACAGCTCCGTCGTGTTGTTTTGCAGCGGCGTGCCGGAGAGCAGGTGCATGTGCTCCACGCGCAGCGCGCGCAGGTCCGTGGCGAGGGCCGAGTCGCGGTTCTTGAGGCGGTGCGCCTCGTCGATGACCATGTAGCGCCACGGCACCGCCTTGAGCAAGGAGAGGTCCTGCTTGATCACCTCGTACGACGTGACCAGGGCGTGGAACTTGTACAGCGCGGGCTCGTGCTCGTCCCTCGAGTCTTTGGAGCCGGCTGCGCCGCCGTCTGCAAAGCGCCACTCGTGCGTCCGGAGCACCTCGCGCGACTCGGCTGTGCCGTGGTAGACGACTGCGTTCATCTCGGTCCACTCGTCAAACTCTCGCTTCCAGTGCGCGAGCGTCGAGAGCGGCGCGACGACGAGGAACGGCCCGCGTACGTGCTCGTGTGTCCACAGGTGGTGCAGCGTGGAGATGGACTGGATGGTCTTGCCCAGCCCCATCTCGTCGGCGAGCATCACAGAGCGGCGCGCGTACCACGAGAAGAGCAGCCAGTTCAGCCCCTCGAGCTGGTACGGCCGGAGCCGGCGGCCGTCCTTGAAGACCGGCGACTCCGTCAGCTTGACGAAGGCGGAGCGCGGCGGCCGGGAGCGCGTCGTCGCGACGCGCAGCTCGCGCGGCGGCGGCGGCTGCTCGCGCGCCTGCCACGCGAGGATAGCCCGCTGCTCCTCGAGGAGAGTGCGAGGGCCCTCCCACGTGCAGCTCGCATAAGGCAGCCCGCGCCACTTGACCAGGAA